AATTTTAAATTATAATTATAATCATTGCGTGTATGATTGAATTCTCCCATAAAAAAATTTTAATTGTTATGTGGAGCTCAACTAAATTAGAAAAGTGGTGTAGGGTATCATAAAATCGTCCCCGCCCGACTTTAGAACTTTCTTTACTGGTTTAATATTTGCCGAATGGAATATTGCGATATGTTCAGCTCACGAGACAATTTTCGGCCACTGTGACGCGGATTTCGATCAAGTCGCTTCTTCACTCTTCGAACCATTTCTGCTGATGTTGCTGTTTTCTACGGTCCACTTCTTTGACGTCGGGCTACGCTACCAGTATCACGGTAAGGAGCGATGGTACGAGACACAAAAGATTTATTCACATTTAAATGCTGGATTGCTCTAACGATAGACACTTGTGGTTATCCAGCCAAATATAAAGAAATCACACTGTCAACTTTGAATTCCACCACGAATAACTTTTTTTGTGGAAAATTCTCACCAAAATCCTTTTGTACACTTGTAAACACTGTCTCTGGAATAATTTTAACAGCTGTCGGACGAGTGGCTTAGAAATGACTGTAGTCTGAAGTTGGATGCAGTTTTTTCCTCTCACCCTGTATTTGACGAACCAGTAGAGCTAGAAGGTAGAGGAGTATGGTCGATGTAAGGACGTAGTTTTGGAAGTGTGTACTCATATATTGGGTGAGGGTCACACTTGGTCGAAAGGTGTCAGAAAATGCAGGGTTTTTGGAAATTCGTACTAGAACGGTAAGGAAAGTATTAAAAGGTACTAAATTTGTTGCCCTTTGTATTGGACGAAACAGTAGAGCTAGAAGTGTCAAATTTTTATGATAGTCGCAGATGGAGTATATGATGGTTACGAGAGAGATTTTGGAAATTCCAACTAAGGGTGTACAAAAAGTCATAAAATGTACTACATTTGGTACCATTTGAACGTTAGAGCTAAAAACTTGTAATTTGAAATCCTGAAATTTGATATTAAGCCACTGTTGGTATCTTAGATTGAGATGTGGTGATTTTTTTGAAAATGCGTACTAATATTGCACAAAAAGTACTAAATGGTACTAAATTTGGAATTAGATGAATCTATGCATTCTGTAATCCCGAAATTTAATATAGAGATCTCTGTTGGTACCCGGAATTGAGCTATGGAGGTGATTTTGAAAATGTGTACTATAATTGTCAAAAAGTACTGAGAGGTATTAACTTGGGTATTAGGTAAAGGGAAAAGGCTGCAATCCCGAAATTTGATACTGAGGTATCTGTTGGTATCTGGGATTGACATATGACTGTGGTATTAGAAATGTGTATTATAATTCTACGAAAAGTACTAAATAGTATTAAATTTTGTATTGGTTAAGGGAGTAGAGCTGTGTACTATGAATGTTCGAAAAGTAGTAAATAGTACAATATTTTGTACAATTGGGTGCTTGAAATCTGTAATTTTATATTAGGGTTCGATTTCTGTGTAGCCTGGTGGTACAAAATTGGATATTTGGAAATAGAGAGGGATAGAGCCGGAATCCTTAAAATTTGAGGTGGTGTTGGAAATGTGTACTACAATTGTACGAAAAGTACTAAGTGACACTAAATTTGATATTGGGTGAAGAGATAGAAATTAAATTCTGAAATTTGATAATTAGGTATCTGTTGGTTGGTAAATATCCTTTAAAAAATCTTTAAAAAAATAATATTTATTTATTTATAGTCCTTTAAAAAATATTTAAAATATCCACGTTTATAGTCCTTTAAAAAATCTTTAAAAAATCCACGTTTATAGTCCTTTAAAAAATCTTTAAAAAATCCACGTTTAATAGTCCTTTAAAGAATCTTTGAAAAATCCACGTTTATAGTCCTTTAAATATCCTTTAAAAAATCCACGTTTATAGTCCTTTAAATATCCTTTAAAAATCTTTAAAAAATCCACGTTTATAGTCGTTTAAACATCCTTTAAAAAATCTTTAAAAAATCCTCGTTTATAGTCCTTTAAATATCCTTTAAAAAATCTTTAAAAAAAATATTTAATATTTATTTATTTATAGTCCTTTCAAAAATATTTAAAATATCCACGTTTATAGTCCTTTAAAAAACCTTTAAAAAATCCACGTTTAATAGTCCTTTGAAAAATCCATAAACGTGGATTTTTCAAAGGACTATTAAACGTGTCCTTTAAATATCCTTTAAAAAATCTTTAAAAAATCCACTTTTATAGTCCTTTAAACATCCTTTAAAAAATCTTTAAAAAATCCACGTTTATAGTCCTTTAAATATCCTTTAAAAAATCCACTTTTATAGTCCTTTAAACATCCTTTAAAAAATCTTTGAAAAATCCACGTTTATAGTCCTTTAAATATCCTTTAAAAAATCTTTAAAAAAAAATATTTAATATTTATTTATTTAAAGTCCTTTAAATATCCTTTAAAAAATCTTTAAAAAAAATATTTAATATTTATTTATTTAAAGTCCTTTAAAAAATATTTAAAAAATCCACGTTTAATAGTCCTTTAAAAAATCTTTGAAAAATCCACGTTTATAGTCCTTTAAATATCCTTTAAAAAATCTTTAAAAAATCCACGTTTAATAGTCCTTTAAAAAATCTTTGAAAAATCCACGTTTATAGTCCTTTAAATATCCTTTAAAAAATCTTTAAAAAATCCACGTTTAATAGTCCTTTAAAAAATCTTTGAAAAATCCACGTTTATAGTCCTTTAAATATCCTTTAAAAAATCTTTAAAAAATCCACGTTTAATAGTCCTTTAAAAAATCTTTGAAAAATCCACGTTTATAGTCCTTTAAATATCCTTTAAAAAATCTTTAAAAAATCCACGTTTAATAGTCCTTTAAAAAATCTTTGAAAAATCCACGTTTATAGTCCTTTAAATATCCTTTAAAAATCTTTAAAAAATCCACGTTTAATAGTCCTTTAAAAAATCTTTAAAAAATCCAAGTTTAATAGTTCTTTAAAAAATCTTTAAAAAATCCACGTTTATAGTCCTTTAAAAAATCCACGTTTATAGTCCTTTAAAAAATCCACGTTTATAGTCCTTTAAAGAATCTTTGAAAAATCCACGTTTATAGTCCTTTAAATATCCTTTAAAAAATCCACGTTTATAGTCCTTTAAATATCCTTTAAAAAATCCACGTTTATAGTCCTTTAAATATCCTTTAAAAAATCCACGTTTATAGTCCTTTAAATATCCTTTAAAAATCTTTAAAAAATCCACGTTTATAGTCGTTTAAACATCCTTTAAAAATCTTTGAAAAATCCACGTTTATAGTCCTTTAAATATCCTTTAAAAAATCTTTAAAAAATCCACGTTTATAGTCCTTTAAATATCCTTTAAAAATCTTTAAAAAATCCACGTTTATAGTCCTTTAAAAAATCTTTAAAAAATCCACTTTTATAGTCCTTTAAACATCCTTTAAAAAATCTTTAAAAAATCCACGTTTATATTCCTTTAAATATCCTTTAAAAAATCTTTAAAAAAAAATATTTAATATTTATTTATTTATAGTCCTTTAAAAAATATTTAAAATATCCACCTTTATAGTCCTTTAAAAAAACTTTAAAAAAATCCACGTTTAATAGTCCTTTAAAAAATCTTTGAAAAATCCACGTTTATAGTCCTTTAAATATTCTTTAAAAAATCCACGTTTATAGTCCTTTAAATATTCTTTAAAAAATCTTTAAAAAAATCCAAAAAACCTTTAAAAATTTTTTAAAAAATCCACGTTTAATAGTCCTTTAAAAAATCTTTAAAAAAATCCAAAAAACCTTTAAAAATTTTTTAAAAAATCCACGTTTAATAGTCCTTTAAAAAATCTTTAAAAAATACACGTTTAATAGTCCTTTAAAAAATCCACGTTTAATAGTCCTTTAAAAAATCTTTAAAAAATCCACGTTTAATAGTCCTTTAAAAAATCCACGTTTAATAGTCCTTTAAAAAATCTTTAAAAAATCCACGTTTAATAGTCCTTTAAAAAATCCACGTTTAATAGTCCTTTAAAAAATCTTTAAAAAATCCACGTTTAATAGTCCACGTTTAATAGTCCTTTAAAAAATCTTTAAAAAATCCACGTTTAATAGTCCACGTTTAATAGTCCTTTAAAAAATCTTTAAAAAATCCACGTTTAATAGTCCTTAAAAAAATCTTTAAAATATCCACGTTTAATAGTCCTTTAAAAAATCTTTAAAAAATACACGTTTATAGTCCTTTAAAAAATCTTTAAAAAATCCACGTTTAATAGTCCTTTAAAAAATCTTTAAAAAATCCACGTTTATAGTCCTTTAAAAAATCTTTAAAAAAATCCACATTTTTAGTCCTTTGAATATCCTTTAAAAATTGTTTAAAAAATCCAAAGCAAATGAAAAGTGACAGCTCTAAGCAACTTGGTTTATTTCCAATAACAAAACCAATAACATTGGCTTCTATGACAACCAAAACCGATAAAATTCTAATTCGAAAATAAAACCGATAACATTGATTTTCATGACACCAAATCATTTTTTCTTGTCGTTTTTAAAACCAATAGTGACAAAATTGGTTTCTATGACAGCCCTGAATGCCCCGGAATCGACCGAGATCACTTCAGTCTACGACAAAACAACGTTGTAAGTTATATTGTGATATTGTGAGCAGCATCGGTTTCATGTTTCATACTACATATATGTAGTACCTTTTATTGGTTTGTAATTGCCGAATAGTTCGTTCGGTAAATTTCGAAGGTACCCGCGATTTTGACAAAGTTTTACAGGTCATTTACATTTTACACAATAATTTTTGAAAATAGGGCTATCCTGGGTCACTCTCTAGAATATTAATATCATACAATCTAAATTATATGCCGATGTATTCTAAACTTGTATCTGACACATATCTGCACACATAAATATATTTATGAAAATTAAATAGCTTTATCATTCTTTTTTAATATTGTTTTTTATTTCAAATTTATTATTAATTAAATATTATTTCCCCAAAAATGTAAAAACTTACCCATAAATGCGTAAATTGAAGGGTAAAGTTTTTATGGACGTCATATAGATGCGCAACGAGTTTAGACGGTCCAACGACAAAGAATCTTCATCAACTGTTAGAACACCGCCAGCAACGCCACCCGCAGTTGCATCCATTGCACCAGCCGTTGCTCCATTAGCGACAGACTGTGAAATGTCAGTTTTTAACAAAGTTTGTCGGTTGTTTCCGCCTGCAACTCCCAAATGGCCAATGCCAGCCACACCCGGATTGGCCTTCAAAACATCAACATCTTCAATGGCATCTATTCGCGATGGCTGGGTTAAAGTTAAAATGGAAGACGACGACGATGATGATGATACGGAGATGCTGGAGGAAGAGGACAGGGATCCCTTGTTGGAAGTTGAAGAACCTGAAGATGTGGCAGCAGCAGCAGCTGCCTGGCTGATGCCGCCCGTTGATGTTGACGTTGCTAATTGTGAAGCTGCAATTGTTTCACGGTTCAATGCGGCTGATTGCGTTAAAAGTTGCAACTTTTTAATTTGCTGTAAAAATAATAATTAAATATTAGACAACAAATGTTCGAAATTCAGTTTCGCTCTTCGTTGCTTTGCGCTTGTTTTTCTCATTTTTTAGTTGTTTGTCTCGTCCGGCTGTTGTTGGCTTTGCTTGGCAATTATTTAATTATTTCCAAAGGAAATACAAAATAAATGCAATGAACGAAGGGAGAGGGGGAGGAGGGGAAGCACACACATACATATATCCACACCTATATAGATACTACAACGTGTTGTGTCTTAAGTTTGTTGTCCTAGGTCTGTCTTGAATTTGAGTTAGTAGTGAACACCATTTGAAAGTTGGGGGCTGACTGTGAGCAACCTGCTCGGTTCCCTAGTGTTTTTCTTGGGATTAGCTGTGTTAAATGTATATTTGATTGTGTGATGTTGTTTGTACTGCTGTTTGTTGGGAATAATGATGCTGCCTCTTTCCTATTGGGGAAACGGAATGTTAATTTCCTAGTAAATTACTGACAGCGCATTCATCCATTCAAAGATCGTGAAAAGTATTTGTAATAAACTCAGGACGATTTTGGAAGTTAATTTAATGTGTGTCAATCAAAAAGACTTGCTTGCAGTGAACATTGGCAAACTGAGGAAGTAATAACAATTGGGAGAGTAGAACATTTTTATTTTTGAACGAAAATGGGACGTTTTGTTTTTGAAAGGAAAGATGTTTTGAATATCAGGAGAATTAGAGGATTTTTTCGCATTTTTTTTTTACACTGAAGCGTTTGCCCTTCTGTCTGCTGACCTGGAGTGGAACCCACTTCGAATTTAAATCAAATTTTCCGGAGACGAAAACAAACCAGTAAAGAGCTATATCCAAATCGGAACCGATCTCGATAAAATTTGGCAAAGATGTTTCTGAGCTGTATTTGATAAATTTCCCTGAATATCGTTGTTACGGAGTGTATATTACGGCTATGGGTAACAAAAATAATAATCGGATGAACAGTATATATAGGAGCTATGGCTATATCTGAACGGATCTTCACCAAATTTGACATACTAGCTTCCAAATTTCATCTCATTTGGGCAAATATTAGACGTTTGGTGCACAATAAAAGGTAAATGGGACGAAGTTATATATGGGAGCTATATCCAAATCTGGACCGATCTCGATAAGGTATTTCTGAGCTGCATTTGATATATTTCCCCAAATATTGTTGTTACAGAGTGCATATTACGGCTGCGGAGGACATAAATAACAAATCGGATGAATAATTTATATGGACGCTATAGCTATATCTCAACCGATTTCGATCAAATTTGGTATACTTATTTTCAGGTATGTGCAAAATATATATTTCAGGTTGTATGTGCAAAATTCCATACTATTCGGGCTGATATTACACGTTTGGTGCACAATAAAAAGCAAATCGGACGAAGATATATATGGGAGCTATATCTAAATGTTAACCTATTATCTCCAATAATAGGGTTCGTCCTTGGGCCAAACAAATGATTTGTGCAAAATTCCATCTGGATAGGACAATAAATGCGAACTGTACTTTGTTTACAAAAATACATGGATCAGACAGACGGACGGACGAACGGACGGGCATGTATAAATCCACTCAGAATGTGATTCTATGCAGATCATCAAAAGGAACTATGGGTCTATCTCGTTTCCTTTTGCCTGTTACAAATAAATGCACAAAAACATAATACCCTGACCACCTTGTGGTGTAGGGTATAATGAGTTCCGATCGAGGCACAGATCAACGCATACTCCATTAGGGTTTTCATTTATTCCCATAGCATTAGTGTTAAGTTTCGATCCAACTTATTTTTTAAAAATGGTTCTGTTATTACAAATTTTTTTATTGAAATTTACAATTGTCAAATATTTTTTTCTGAAGCTAAATTAAAAAGTTAGAAGGTTTCAGTCGGTATTCCAAAAGTAGTACCCTCAACGTTTGACCAATTGTCTGCATGTACTGTCTTTGGGAGATAACCTGTATACCATTTTAGAACACCAACTGCAACATATTGCAAGGGGAGAACTTTGAAGGAAACTGGGGGAAAATCTTTGCAATTTATGAAACTTATGAATACAATGTAGTCGCACTTTAATTTTTTTTTTCTAAAAATTACAGAAAAAATCTAGAAGAATGTTTAGGTAGGCAAAAAAAAAAAAAATATAAGACACGTCTATCGCCGTTTTATACGTTTTTATCGCAAAGTAACCTGAAAGAGGTACCCCTCTTCCACATTTTTGGAAATTTTCGCAATATGATTCTTTGGAATCCATTCATTTCAAGTATAAAACGAGTCACCAAAGGATTCTTTTTTGGCCAATCTTTATGCATTAAAACAATTTTTAAACGGGATCGTAACAAGTCAAAACAATCTACAAACTTATTTGTCATAAAATTCTACTATAGGTCCCAGGATACAACAAAATCTGTTCTAACCGACAGGGATTCAAAAACATAAACAAGTACTTTTAGTACCCTCCACCATTTGAAAGGAACTTGAAAAATTTCATAAAACTTCCGGAAACTACCACTTAAATTAAAACTGATATATGGAGACAATACGAAGACGTGGACCTGCTTACGATTTTTTTTTTGGTCATAGGCTGTAGTACCCATTACGAACTTCAAATACCAAATTTGTTACAATTCCGGTGAATAACGTCGCTAAAATCAACAAAATACCGAATATCGGGTGAACCGTTATATGGGGGCTATACGAAGACTTGGACCTGCACAGGCAATTTTTTGTCGTAGGCTGTAGTATTCATTTCGAACTTCAAATGCCAAATTTGAAACAATTCCGGTAAATAATGTCGCTTAAATAATCAAAATTACGAATATCGGGGGTACCGTTATATCGGGGCTATACGAAGGCGTGAACCTACATGGCCATATTTTCTGTCTTAGGATGTAGTATCCATTACGAACTTCAAATACCAAATTTGTTACAATTCCGGTGAATAACGTCGCTAAAATCATCAAAATACCGAATATCGGGTGAACCGTTATATGGGGGCTATACGAAGACTTGGACCTGCACAGACAATTTTCTGTCGTAGGCTGTAGTATTCACTTCGAAAATACCAAAGTGTCGATCACCTCAAGCAAGCGCTACGTCGGGAATGGGTCAAAGTACCGCAGAATAACATTCGAACAGCGTGTGACGGTTTCATTGGCCGTTTGAAGGCAATAGTTCGTGCCAAAGGTGACCGATTCGAACAAATCTTAATTTATTTATTTACAAATTTGATGTTATTTCCGACATTTTTTTTGTTTTCAGCCAATAAATTTAAAAAAGAAAGTAAAGCGTTTGACTTTGTTCCATTTTTTTTATCTCACCCTGTATTTTGAAAATTTCTACCTTTTTCTGGGTAAGGTACCAGAGGGCGTGGACTGATATATTCCATCTTAAAACCAGATGTGTGAAATTTGAAGACATTTGGATTATTACCTCTCATTTTATAAGAGTTATAATTTTTCAAAATTTTGACCCTTTATGGGGGAAGGTACTTGATGGAGTGACCCGATATTGTGCATTTTCACACCTGACCTAGAAGTGATGCAAATATTAAGATTTGCAAATTTGGAGTAAAATCGGATTATCTTTTCTCTTTCTGTGCAGAAAATATATATTTTGAACATTTCAACCTTTTGTGGGGGAGGTACCAAAAGGAGTGGACCGATATTGCCCATCTCTGAACTCGATCTAAGTTTGACAAAGATATTACGATGCCCCGGGTTTGGACAAAATCGGATACTTCCTTCGTGAGTTATTGTGAGCACCAGTCAAGCAGACAGACGGACGGACGGATATCGCTAGATCGACGCCAAATGTCCTGAAATGGATTTGGTCTAAAGAGACCTAGGGTCTAAACCGTTATTTCGACTAGGCACGTTTTGACCGTACTAAATGGTATACAGCCTCTGTAGCTATATGACTGAGGGTATAAAAATTGTTTGGATGTTCGACAAGTTAGGCATGAATCGAATTATCATTTTGGGAGCAGCCAGTCAGAGCATGATCGTAAGTAAGGGGCAGCACTGGAAGCCTGGGTTTTCGAAATAGCTGCTACTCTGAAATTTTTGTTACATTTTGCGATTTTATGTTTCAGATGAGACTTTGAATAATATATTACCATTGCAATTTAATATATTCTCAGCCATATTTAGATCCTGCAACATAGGGACATGTAGGGTCTGTAATTCGGGTCTACCTCCGATATAATTAATTTTCAATGCTATTACGTATATCGCTGAAATTTGGCAATATAGTTGGTATTGTGTCTAGGATAATTAGTATTGAAAATGGGCTTTATCGGATTTTCCGAGTTTTGAATTATTCGGTAATTGGGTCTTAAACTGAATCAACCACTGTCATTCACAAGGCCAAATTTCTATTCGAGAAAAAGGTTATTTATGGTGTTATTATTTTGTTTAAAGATATTACATTTCGGTTTTTGAAAACTTATATTCTTTGAAATCCTAGTCAAATTTTCCAGCCGAATTGGCTGTAAATCAATATATATTGAAATCTCAATTGTTCAATTTAGACCTTCTAATTATGCATATTTTCTAATGGTTTCGGCATATGGCCAAGCTCTAATTTTTATTGACTCTAAGATAACCGATTTCACAAATTCCGATTTCAAATGGTGAAGAGTATAAAGAGTTCGGTCTAGCTGAATGTAAAACAATTTTTATTTGTTTGTCCATTGAAATATGTGTATGTCTTTTACCCACTCAGGGTAACTTGAACTCCATACCCCACCCAAAAATATTTTTTTTCAAAAAAAGCAAATATCTTTTATGTAGACCTTATAAATTATCAGGCTTTCTCAAATATATGATTTTATGTATATGAATGAGAATTACATTGTAAGTGTATGGGAAGACATATTATGCGCATTACAATCATATGTACATACGTATAGAATATTTGTAAAAAATGAAAATAATTCAAAATCCTAGTCGGAGAATTTACTGTTCCAACATTACTTCAAGTTT